TGAATAATATAGATGGAACATATCTTGAAAATATCAACCAACTCAAAAATGTCTAAATCCAACCTTGCCTGTCTCTTGATAAACTGCATTTAAAGATATATCATCCCCTATAATTTGCAAACATTTTACTTGAATTCCTAATATTTTCACTTGTATTTTCACAATATTTTAGGGACAGTATTTTAGTGACAGACAGAAATAATTTGTTATTAGTAGATTAATTCTAAAGAGTGGTAACTCCATTATTTTATGTTTTCTTCTATTTTTTGGGAAAGACAAGATAATAAATTCAGAACAACCACATTATATTAATAATATAATCAACTAAACTTTGATTTCAAATTAATTAATCAAGACGTTTTAAAACTCAAGTAGTAACAAACAGTAAAAGTTATCAAGTCTTTTTAACATTTCCATAAATGCCACATTTTTTATCAGTGTCTTTTTTTAAAATATTACGAAACTTTTCGTTTTGATAGTACAAAACGGGTTATTTAGTCTTCGAATTAAAATATCTTAAGCACGTACACGTGAAAATAAAATGTATACGTATGTGTTAAATGCAGAGAGTTTAAACAAAATAAAGCAATATCATTGGTTGCACAGTCTTGATGAAAATTAAATAGGAGATTATGATATTTTTGCCCATTTTAAACTGAATTAAGAGGTTTTGACGATCAGTACATGTTATCGAGTTTAAGTGAGGGCATTTAATTCTAAGGTCTGCTAACGTTTTATTTTATAAATGTATTGGAAACACTAAAATTGAAAGATTTTGTAAAAAACTGCCACTAGACGTTGAGTTAATTTTTTAATAATGTCTTCATCTATATCTGTGGGAATATTGGATTAAAACGTTTTAAAGAAAAGTATTTTACCATATGATTTATTCTGCTTTATCATGGAAAATTTTCTTCTTAAACATTTAACGTTGATTTATGCTTTACCATTTTAATTTAATATAGTAGATTTCCAATGATTTTGATGAAATAATAACTTCACGTACCTGTAAACTTTTAACGCTTCTGGCAAAAAAGAAAGATATTAAAGATAATCTAAGAAATTAAAGATAATCCTTGCACGCCGGAATACATTATTAAACTTAAGATAAAATTTTATGTTTGTAAGGGATATTTTTAATATTAAAATAATAATTACTTGAGAAGAAAATTTCTACTCGGTTTAAACTTGTTTTAAAATAAATATACGAGTATATTGCCACTATGAACCTAATGGATTTGTAAATAACCCACATGATCGTGAAGGGTATATCCTAAAGAGTTAATGAAAGTCAGAAAAGAATGTTATATCTCCTTCAATAAAGTTCTCTGCAAAAAGATCAACAGTTTTAGCTACATAAGTTGAAAATCAATGACATAATTAATTTATCTTACATAAAATTCGTTATTTACTAAACACTAGGACGAAGAGAGTTTTCTTTTTGTCCGAAAATCAAATTTGAGAGGCGTTAACCTAATGTAAGGAAACCAGTTTACTTGACTTTCGTGACTTTTCCTAAATTTTTGAGATCTTCAAAAGCATTCAAGTGAAATTTTGTTAGAATATAATATGACTTCATAAAATGACTATTTACCTAGAACGACTATTTGATCACTGAAGAGATTTTTTGAGAATGAAAAATGACAGCTGTAGAGATTTGTGTATAAAAAAATAACCGCGTTAGAGATTCGGGTGTATTACTTGGATATAGCACAATGTGTCTCCCCCATTGATTATCTTTATTTTATTCGAGCATGAGCCTGACAAGTTTTACTCTATACGATTTTTTCCACAACGTAAATCCTCTCTAGCTCGCTGCTGCTCTAAAACCTGTCGTAATTGTTTATCAAACGTGTCAATTTTTCCTACTACGATTGCTTCAAGATATGAGCTCACAAATGGCTTAGAAATGACCAACTTGTCCAACCATCCGAGAAAGGGTAAATTTTTGTAAAACTTCTTATGTGTATTTCATAGAAAGACAACACAAATAAAAATAAAAATCAATAAACAGCCCTTGCTTTGAAACATTACGCTTATTAAAAATACATTCAGTAAATGAGAACATTTGAGTTACATTTCTAGCTTGATCACTGCTGTCAAAATGACAGCAATGGTCGTTCTAGGAAGGTCAAAATGTCTGTCGTTCTAGCACTAAAAAACCAGGGTTATTACAGAAAGAATAATACAATATTCTTTTTTATTGCCTGCCATTGACCTCAAACGTTAGGAGCAAACGCATCAATTACAATACTAAAACTATAATTTCTTTTTAATAATTAACTAGAACTTGTTAATTAACATTCGTGTAAATAACATCCATTTTATTCTTCTATGAGTTTACCAACTAAATTAAATATTAAAATAAAAATTGTTCGGAATCAGTACGAAATTACATACAAAGGAAACCATTTAAATTATTCTCGAAAACAATTGCTGAAACTTCAAGTTAAGTTTGCAACATATTTATATTTTAGTAAATAACGAAACGTAATTATAGATATTCATTTAATATGTACAACAAGCATGGTATATCGTGTCTCTTACCTATGAGGATTTCTTAAGATAAGTGTCTGCTCCTTATAGGTAAATATATTATAAGTTTTTAAGTGATGCATGCGCGAATCATATGCTGAAATTTCAAGTCAGGTTCAACTATGCAACAAATTTATGTTTTAATAAATAATGGATTCTGAATATACTGTTTCTTTTAAACAAATTACTCTTTTAACATTCTACGTGTTCACCAAAGCCACACGATTTATTAAATTAAAAGACATTTACAATCAATACAAAATTACTAACTAAAAGAAACCGTTTCAATTATTCTCGATAAAAAATGCTGAAACTTCAAGTCAGTTTCCTATAGACAACACATTTATGTTTTAGTAAATAAGGGAACCAGAATATACTTTCTCTATGAAGTAAAAATTCTGTTTAGATCAATTAGGAAAGTGCAAATATTTTCTGTTTCAATGTGTCACAAACTTCAACATTTTCTAAATGACACGTGTGCTTATGAGCACGACATATTCATTTGATACGCACAACAAGTGTTATCTATCGTGTCCTTTACCTATGGGGATTTATTAAGATAAGTGTNTTCACCAAAACCACACGATTTATTAAATTAAAAGCCATTTACAATCAATACAAAATTACTAACTAAAAGAAACCGTTTCAATTATTCTCGAAAACAAATGCTGAAACTTCAAGTCAGGTTCCTATAGACAACACATTTATGCTTTAGTAAATAAGGGAACCAAAATATACTTTCTCTATGAAGTAAAAATTCTGTTTAGATCAATTAGGAAAGTGCAATTATTTTCTGTTTCAATGTGTCACAAACTTCAACATTTTCTAAATGACACGTGTGCTTATGAGCACGACATATTCATTTGATACGCACAACAAGTGTTATCTATCGTGTCCTTTACCTATGGGGATTTATTAAGATAAGTGTCTGCTCTTCATATGTGAATAGATTATAAATTTTAAGTGATGCGTGTGCAACTTGGGATGCATGACATCCAAAGAGTAATGAAACATTCAGTTTCATATTCTTAATGAAGGAGAAGTAATGCTTTTCATAATGATTAAATAGCTTGAAAGAATAGTTGATATCGGTCTGGTAAATTTAATTAAAGTATATCTAGTTTTGTGGAGTTATTTTCTGTTGAAAACTGATGAACTAAAGCTTAGTAATGTTTATAAATGAAATAGCTTAACACAAGAAAACAAAAGCAATTTTATTTATTTGCTTAAGTTGTATATATTTTATTAAGTATTATCAGTGTATGTTCCAAATATTATTTACTTTTAAAGATGTCTTTTTCGGTGAACTTTCTGCAACATATTTCAAAAACTTAGAGAATGAACTAAGGAAGTAATATTTTCAGAGGTATTTATTAATCAGGGATAATAACATGAAATTACCTCATAGTTATACGTAATAAGGGTTGCTATATTTCCAAGTATTGTAATGTTTAAAAATACATAATAGAATAAAAATAATTAACAACCAATCTTAAGAGACATCGTAGCATCAAAGCTTTTTTACCCATTGATGTCCGAAAATACGAATTGAGTTAATGTTAAATGTGTTTTTGCAAAAAAAGCTGGTATTACAGACATGAATACTTCAAAGCATATTTATTTTTCAAAATATAGCTACCACTTTAAAACATTTTGCAGACAGTGCTTAGTCTAAACATTTAATTTAACACATAAACAAGATAAATCAGGATTCCTATGATATGGATCTTTTTTAAATGGTAGCGAAAGGGTGATCAACCTGAAAATTTTAAGATCTAATAATTTTTTGACTTAACCCTTTCGCGCCGACTGTCACAAATACGTGCCAGCATAAAAAAGATCAACCAGGGTAAAAAGATAAAATTGGTAATCAAAGGAATTCTTTAGCAGTTTATTTGTGAGCGGAGTTATAATTGTTTGATTTATTTAATTCATCATTACTTTGTTCAAAATAAAACTATTTAGCTATACTTTGAATTAACATTGATTATATATATGATTAACACGTTCACGCCGGGATGACCCACCGGTGGATCAAGCTAGATTGTCTCAACGGGCGTATGAATTTTTGAAATGTTATCAAAAATGCCAAAAAATTCTAAAAGCTTTAGTTTTTAGTTGGTTGCAATTGCATAAAATATTTCGCAAAAAACATGATAATTGGCTCACCTTGCTGAAGAAACACAACTACTACCACATTTAACTTTTAAAAAATAGCGACAAACTTTGAATGCAATACCTGAATTGATTTAATCTGCATTGGTTAAACTTAAATTAATTTCATCTATTTGACTTGGTCTGCATTTGAAGGATTCCTTATTTTTTCTGATTTTATTTCCTGGAATTTTTTCTAGAAATAAAAGTTAAGATACTACTTATTTTAAAAAAAATTTATTATTCTATTCTTTTGCATGAATGCATTTTATTTACATTTTAATACAGTTGTATTTTTACTGTGCTTTTAGGTGCTATTTTTACTCCACATACTGAAGAACAGCAATCAGCTTTCAAATATGCAATTCATCTTCATAACAATAATGATTCTCAAGCTCGCTTTAAAGTAGAACCAGTTATAGAAGTTCTCGATAGTCCAGATGCTTTTAAAATGGCAAGATCATGTAAGTACTTTAAAACATATAGGTATATTCCAATAAGGAAAGGGGCCAAAATTTTCCAAAAATGCTTTTTTTATTCAACTTTAAACGTTTATCTTCATTTTGAGTTATTAACTAATGTGTATGTATAATTTCCTGAGTTTTTTTTAATTTTTTTTGTTAAGTCCACACTTGCTTTATATCATGGGGCACAGTCAGTGTGGCAGCTAGACATAAGTTTAAACTTTTAATTTAACATTAGAAAGACATAAAGTGTCAATTTAAACCCCCTATTTTGTTGCTCTGTAATTCGGAAAAAAATTACTGAAAGTGTGGAATATTTTTGATTTTTCATAGTTTGATCCAATTTAAATGCTTATTTAATCCTTCATGTGTTAACCGTCTTGAAACGTATATATATATATATATATATATAGTCATTCTTGTTATACCAAGATAACTGGGAAAGCCAAAGTGGCCTTTGAGTATTTTGGTTTAAAACTAATTCACAGAACTATAGGATGCTGGATGCTGGATATTGGGGTTATCTCGGCGTTTGGCGCGAAACGCCACTAACCGATTTATCGAATCTGTTTTGTCGTATTCTAGGAGGTCCTAAATATCATTGAAGTTGTAGTATGTTGTAATAACAAATCAAGTCCTTAAAGAAATAAATCTTTAGTTTTGAAGTGAAAATCATCTTTGGAATGGGGAGATCCCCTTGAGTAGAGTTATATGATAAAGTTAATAGTATTTTGATAGTATGCAGTTTGAGAATAAAAAAATCGGTAATTCGGCAGAAATTCGAATTATCCCGGATTATATCAATATCGAACAACTTATTGAAATCTGATGTGGTGCATGTTTTTGCATCGCTATAAAATTTTGTGGTCAATTTAGCTATAAAGCAATTGATATCATCAATGTTTAAGTCTTCTCTGAGTAATCTATTGCTAATCGCCCTTGGGTCGCCAGTCATTGTACGTAAAAATTTACCTTCAGTTGTAGATAGCTTCTTACAGAACTATAGTTTCTTTATCTATGTTTCTCAGCTTGGTGTTTCCTAGAATATTGTGGTATTTACGAGCCGCAAAATCGTTTCATTTTTTTTCTCATTTCTTCTACTGCTTTTTAAAATTTTTAATCACCATCCGTAATTTGCTCAGAGACTGTTATGTTTACTATTACGCTCTTATTTCACAAAGCAATTCATGTTCCAAGTTTTATTGAGAATTATTATTATTTTTGAATACAGCCCAGATATCTTATAGAATAACAAATGATAAACCTAGAGGCATTCTGTCTTGGTAAAATATATAATAATCCGTATACTATGTCTAATAGCATTTCTCATTTTATTAAGTTTTAGCCTTTCTATACAATAATTCGGCTAACTTCAGAATGATNAAAAGAATATATTTAGTTAATTTACATGTATTAATGTATTTTATTTAAATATAGTGCTTGTTGCTGTTAAATTGTTGAGGCTTATTAGAATGGAAATATTCTAAATATACAGCGAAAACCTCCAATCAATACAAGTCATCAATTTTCGTTCTTTGAAAGTTATAAATTCCCATTTTGATTAATTTTCCGCTCGAAGTACTAAACTTTTATTTGGTTAGCAAGCTATTTTAGCATTTTATTTTTTCAAAGTTTTACTTATTTTCCACTTAATGAAAGTCAAAAAAACTCACAGAACACCAATAATGGGGAAATGTCTTGAAACAACACGCGAGAAAATTGCGCCAAAAACTAAATATAAATGCCTTTCTCCTAAATAGATTTAACTTCCTCTCAGCGCCAAATGAAAGATTTTTCCTCCCTTGTGAGTTTAATGACTAAAAAATGCATAAAAATTTGCTGCTTCAAATATCAGCTAGGCATACTTCTTTTTGAGGCTTTTTTTTGATCGATGGCGGCTTTTATGAAGAATCTTGGACTTAGAAGCAAAGATGCATGGCAGGCTTGGCGACGCTATATAAGTCGATTATTGGCTCCGAAAAGCCAAGAAACTTTAATGATCATCAACAAAGCGGAGGTAGCTCCCTATTTTATACATTTTATTCATTTTCTTTGAAGAAAAAGATCTTTTGAAAGATGAAAGATTTTATAAGATACTTATCTAATATTAAAATAGAGTGCATACATTAGATGTCCCCAAGAACAATTTTCTTGCCAGATGTCATCGCGATTGGCGTTCTATGTTTTGACAGTTTCGGCATTTAATGATGTCGCTAAAGAACATTTTTTTTCAGCTTGTTACAGAAAGCAACTGTTTTTGTATTCGAATGAAATTTATGGATTGGAAAAAAGTTATCAGGATTTGTCTGTGGGGAAAAAAATTCTTCTTTTATTTTGCTTTTCGATGAAAGACTTCTTGTTTTGCTCTCAATAGTGTTTCTAAAAAAGATTTATAATTGAACATATGTTTGAAATTTTGCGGTCTTTTAAAAGCGATTGGATACAGTAAAAAATATTTCGATTTTCCAACATGTTTTATAAAAGCTTCATTTATTACTTGTATTGTGATCGCGAAAATAAACTGGATCACCACAACTGTATTCTATAATAAAAAATTATTAAACTAATGCAAGTAGAAGTCATATACCAAATGCCATGGATAACAAAAGAATATATTTAGTTAATTTACATGTAGGGATGGCCACAAGTGACTAAAATGTGAAAAAAAGTGATTAATAAAAATCTAAAATCTATTAAAGGGTTTAAAATTAGCAACTTCTCCTTGCATATTTCTTTCAGTTTACGATTGAAGGTGATTACAAAGAATTTTTCACTCTCGTTATGATTAATTAGAATGCATGCCATGGTGGTAGTTACGATTGGATAATTAAATACATTAATTAAATAAAAATAAATTTAGTTTTTACCACTACTTAAATTTTTAGCCGCCTCTGGCATCCCTGCTCATGCAAACTACCACGCTAAGAAAAGAAAAAAAAATTGCGATTGATTACGATCAGCGTGGTCTGACAACTTTTTTCATTCCCTTGTTAATACTATCGAAGAAAAAATAATTTTTTTTAAAAAAAAAAAGAGATAATAATTCGTGATTTTTGGAAGAAAAAAAATTGCTATCTGCTGCTCATCGTACAAAACAAAAAACACCAAAAAAAAGCCAACCGACCTGTGTAGGGGGCAGGGAACTGTCCTTGCATCAGAAAGGTCCTGGGTCTGAATCCCGGGCAAGGCATGGATGTTTCTTTCTCTCTGTGTGTGTTCTATGTCCTTTCTCCTTTGTGTGTGAATGTGACCCGCCCTATAAACGGGTTGTGGTTGTGTGAATGGAGTGGCAGAAGTCGAATTCCTGGCCATAGATGGCGCCACTGAAAAATAGGAACAATCGCATCCCTACTGCCTAAACAGGCAAACGACAAGAAAAAAATCGTGCAAAAAAGGCTAAATGAATCAAAATCTTAATTTTGAATTTATTTCCTACATATAAAAATTTTTTTAAAGGCCTTTCTTCTGTCACTGCAATTTAGAAAGATGAGCACCAGAACCTTCCTGACCGAGTGGTTTCCCCAATTTGACTGACGCTCTGTAAGGCTTGGAAAGCGATAAACTCGTTGAAAAACCATTTTAATTGTAACTGGTTTTTGCAAGGAGTAAATCAAGCTTATATTATTCTAAATTATAGACTATTTATCTCTATTGGCATTTTCTTTTGTGCAGGAACTTGTTATTATATTTATGTTATAACTGTTACAAAAATTTGGCAACAACGGAAATTTTAATTTTCTGAAAGAAGACATAATAAACTTATATTCTTACCAGTTTTTACTTTCGTCCGTTATGATAAATATAAGGTTTCAACTAGACGCTCTGTGGCACTGCCCCAGGCACCCAGATAAATATTGATGATGATGATGAAGTTCTGTGGCGACGCATAATACAAAATGTTTTCATACACTGTATACTATTTTCATGATGTATGGGTTAGGGGACGCTACGCGGCCCAGGCACCCAATTTGTTTTAAATAAAGAAAAAATAAACGTTCTGTGGCTTGGAAATTGCAGGAATGACAAAAGTATTAATAAAATGGTAGCGAATTAAATAGCGAAATTTGTAGAATTATATTAACGCATATTCTTTAACACGTTGAACGCCGCGTTAGCCATCGGTGGCTGGCACTGAACTTTCCATTTAGGCCGCGTCAACCACTGGTGGCTGACGCTGAAATTACATTTCGACTGAGTCAACCACCAGTGGCAGACACTGAAATTACATTTAGGCTGCGTGTACCACCACTTGCTGACTTTTCACATATGCCGCGAAAAACAGCTGGCTGACAACGTATAACATGATATAGAACTATAAAATCTCCACTCTTTTACGGAAATGCAGAAAATTTATTCAAAATTTACTTAATTGTTGTGATTCTTGGTTTAATAAATTCAATTTAGTAGAATTTTCAATACTATTTTTGAACAATTCGTAGGCATATATAATTCACCACTTTTTTCAGATATGTTATGCTAAACCTTTTATAAACTAGCAAAATCTGTCTACATTTCCAAATTTAGTTTGTAGTTATTTACCGTGTGGTGAGACGAGCAAGTCATGTAAAATTAGAGTGGCATTTAATGTGTTAAAAATGTAAATGCGTTACAAGTGCAATAACGATGCAATTTATACGAAACTTTGAATTTTCGATATGTAAGGGTTGAAAATTTACTTAAAATAGTAAATTAAAGCAAACGTAAATTTAGTTGCCACTAAAAAATTTTTACATTACAAAGCGGGCTAGCTGGCATCTCTGAAAATGTGGTTTCCGTATCTATTGTGTTAAGTAACGGCATGCCGTTTTTTCAAGATTTTCCGCAAAGTTTTGTTTATAAATTTAATGTAGTGGTAAATGTTTTTTTCAATTCCGGTTTTCACAAATTTTAATTTTTGTAATTTTACCTTATATTTTATTTTTAACTTTAGTTGATAACTTTTTAAACAATGGGCCGCCAAAAATTTCAGCAATTTTAAAATTTCTCCAGTTAGATATAAT